ACAACATTTCATTTTAATCCTTTAATTTGTAAAGTATCTTTTTAGTCTTTTAATCTTAATATTATTAGTTTTGTCCTAATAAATTTTTACATTAAACTTTTAAATATTGATAAAATATTCTCAAATATTGACATGTTAAATTTAATTTTTTTAAAATAATGATGATTGACACAAAACAAATAATCATTTAAAACTAACAATGTATAAGTTAAAGGACTAAAAAAATACTTGAAAAAAGTTAAGCTTACCATTGAAAAAAGCTTCCTTGCTCTCTCCTACATTCAACTCCAATACCTTCACATAGATGTTATTGATGATGAAATTAAGAATGTTGCTTTCAACATTGGTGCCTTTAAAGCCCAAGACCTGATGGCATCAATGTGGGATTCATTCATTCTTACTTGAAAGATCTAAAGCACAGCATCATAAAACTCACCAAAAGAGTTTTTAGAGATCTCGATTCTATTAGAGAGAATAATGACACATTCATTACCTTAATCCCTAAGGTTGATCAGCCGACTTGTATGAAAGATTTTCAACCAATATCTCTTTGTAATATAAACTATAAAATTATCACCAAAATTATCTCTAATAGTCTTCGCGCTTGTTTGAATCATCTTATTAGCGATAATCAATGTAGCTTTATTTAAGGTAGGCAAGGCAATGATAGTATCATTGTTGCTCAAGCGATCATTCATTTTATGAGAAATAAAAAAAGGATTCATGGCTTTGAAGATTGACCTAGAAAAGGCCTTTGATAGACTATCTTGGACCTTCATTGATGATACTCTCAATTTTATTGGGATAAATAGTCATCTTAGGAAATTAATTAATGTCACCATCTCTACTACAAGGATGAAAATACTCTGAAACGGAGAACCATCTGAGGAATTCAAACCTTTCAGAGGCATACATTAGGGAGATTCATTTTCTCCTTATCTTTTTGTTCTTTATATTGAACGTTTAAGCTTTTGCATTCTCACTAGTATTGATAATAACGAATGGAAGCCAATTGGACTGATTCTTGATGGGCCTTCCACTTATTCTTTGTTGATGATTTGTTACTTTTTACAGAATTATCTCTATCTCAAGTAATGACTATTTAATAATGCTTTTTAGATTTTTATAGCACCTCCGGACAAAGAATTAATACTGATAAATCCACACTTTTCTATTCAAGGAATGTTAATATCAACTGAGCTTCACAAATTAGTGAGGAGTTAGGAATTTCACTCACAGGAAATATTAGGAAATACCTCAAAATTCTACTAGTACATGAAAAAACTTCTAAGCTTACCTTAGCTCCTCTTTTTGATAAGACAAATTCGTGCTTTGCTAACTGGATAAGTTGCTATCTAAATATTTTAGGAAAAGTTGTTCTCATTAAGTCTATCCTTTCTGCTTTGCTTTGCCATACCATGCAAATTATGCTCCTTCTTGATAACGTCTTGGTTGAGTTGGATAAAACATCTAGAAACTTTCTTTAAGACTTTTCGGACAAGAAAAAAAAATCATCTTCTCTCCTGAGACTACATTATTTCAAATAAAAAAGATGGAGGTCTTGGCATAAAGAAGATCAAGAATCAAATTATTGCCTTCATCATGAAACTTTTCTAGGCCTTATCACTAAACCTAATTGCCTCTGGGTGCGGGTCCTTCGTGACAAATACAAATGTAATAAACCCATTATTCCTACGGTTATTAAACCTACCTCTTGTTCTTTCACCAGAAGCAGTATATTCAAAGTTTAAGATAAGTTGACTTAGCAGATTGGTTGGAAAGTGGGTAAAGGTGATCAGATATCATTTTGGTATGATAAATAGTTCTCCTTTTTTAATCCTCTTGTCAAATATGCTCTTCATAATGCCCACTATATTCTTCACGCTAGAGTCTTGGACTTTAGCCATGCCACGAGAGGTTGGAATTTCAATCTTTTAAAATGCTACCTTCACCCTGATATCATTAGATAGATTGCACTTGTTCGACCTCTAAACCAATAGGGTGATGAAGATGTTCTTATTTAGAGAGCTTCCTCTGATGGTAACTTATCTGTTAAGTCTACCTATAAAGCTCTGGAGATTTAAAAAAATCAAAATTGCTCTAACATCTGATCCAAAATTTGGAAGTGGCCTACTTATGAGAAAAATAAATATTTCTTTTAGAAGGCTACTTGGGATTGTCTCCAAACTAACTATAAGAATACTAACGAGAATACTACTCAGTAGCATACTTGCCTTATGGTTATAACTCTACTGACTCCTCTATTCATGTTTTGCATGATTACAAAGAAGCCTAAAAGGTATGAAAAAGATTAGTTAACCCTACAAAACTTAATACCTTTTTCTCATGCGATATGCTGGATTAGATAACTAGAACACTAGGAATGAAGCAAGCAGTTGGATTACAAGAAGAATCTCTTGTCGAAGACTTTTTGCCTAAACATGTTGTAATATATAGAAAGCTAGATGCAAGAAGTTTTACTTCAAAAATGATTTTCTGGATAACGACATTGCCTTTTCCAACATACAGCATATAATGAATGATAAAATTGCAATATAAGATCAACTAATTAAGCAAAAATGACAATAAATATGAAGCTAAATGAAGTCTTCCTAAACCTGATTGGGTTAGACTTGATGTTGATAGCTTTGTTAATATTCATGGTGTTGCTACATGTGGAGACATTATTAGAGATGACAAAGAAAATTGGATTAAAGGATTTTTTAAGAATCTTGGTTATTATTCAAGCACAACAGCTGAACTCTTGAGAATATATTAGAAGGTCTTAATCTTTTTTGGAATGATGATCTGGCCAAAATTAATGTATATTCTGACTCTTTGGAAGCTTTATCACTCATTAATAATAGCTACTATAATGGCCATCCACTCTCCGTAATCATTCAGAATATCAAAGATCTCACTATTAGGGACTAGAAGGTTACTTTTGACAATGTCTATATAAAAGCTAACAAATGTGTTAATTTGCTTGCCCACAAGTCATCCTACAAAAATTTTAATATTTCTATTTTTGACAACCCAACCCCTAACTGTATAAATCTCATAACTTGAGATATGACTATATTTTAGTCCTTTTTGCACTCCATGGCCTTATATTAAAAAAACAATGCGAGAAAGATGTGGCTAAATGATATTCCAACCCAAGCCCTATTGAGCCACCTATTTGACCCATTATTAGTGATGGGCTGGGCTTCAAAATAACATCCCAAAACATTAAACAGCCCAGCCCATTTGGCTTTTTATTTTCCTATTATGGGAATTAATTAATTTATGTTTTTTTTTCCAATGAATTCTATTAGCATCATAAAGTGAATGATAACTTATAAGGCATTTAATTTAATTTGATGTTTTATATTACATGGCATTTTGCCTTTTGCATGAATTCTATTAACATTAAAAAATATAATCCATTGTAATTTAATTTGATATTTTAATTTATATGGCACATTCAAAATTTTTCTTTTCAATATTTTTTTTTAATGACAGGCTAACAAGCCCGCCCTTTAGGCTTTTAACAAAATGAGTCAACCTGTATTTCCATTTCCAATACGTTTTTAGCTGTCCAGTGTGAGGAGAAGTATTGTATTAGACAAAATATGAATCAGAGTTTTATAAATACAAAATAGAAAATTTACTTATAACATAAGTCTCAAATAATAGACAAGTTCTTAAAGACCACGAAGTATTATATTACCACACTCTTCAAGCTCGTACGTGTAAATTCTTGTTATTTACAATTATACAGTGTTGCTAATAATTGACCTTATGAAAATCATCGCGAATTTATTACTGAATGGGTTTAAAGTTGAAACGGATAATGTTGTCTTTTTACATGCATGCCAAATTACAACTAAATCTTAAGGGACATATGATTATATTTTTACAAATTTCCAGGATTTATTTATAAATAAGTGTTTTTAGTTGGGAGTTATATATAATTTCCCAAAACAATTCATAAAATCCTCTTCAAAGGACTTGGAAAATCTCAAAACGCACAACTAGAAAATAAAAATGAGTTTCGTCAGCTCATCTGCAATCAGTTGAATCGAACAATGTACGTCTTTATTTTATATTTATAAAAAAGTATTTTATAACATAAATATTAAAAGATTGACAAATTTTTACATGGAACCAATACATCATGTCATGCATATTCCATTCAATAAAATTGCACCAATTCAATAAAAAAATTATGTGTTATTATTTTAATAACTTTATTTTTACAATAAAATACCTATTTAATCTTGTACATTTTTTTTATTATGATTAATGACAGAATTAATTTATATTTAATATCATTTGAATGTTATTTTTTATTAGATGTAGCATGTTATGGTGCATTCAAAAATTTATAAAAGATCTTGAAACTAAAACCTTTTGTTCACAACACTTAACCATGGTCCAGCTGGTGTAATTATTATTGTAATTTTCATAAAAAAAGGAATTTAAAAAATTTTATGTTTCTGATAATAAAATAATACTCTCAAATTATAAGATATTTTTGTGAGAAATTTGACATCCCAAAACATAAAACACTTTTTTTTTTTTAAAAAGGCTTTCTTCAAGCATAATCACATTCAATGATCCAATAAGAAATTTATTCGCAAACAATGATTTATAATAAGTCTTATTCAAGAAAACATAAATTCATATTTTTATTTTAATAACAATCAATTCTATATTAGTCTGTGTTTGCAAATAAGTTTTTTATTCAGTTCTTAATTGTGATTCTTTCTTTTATTAATAATGTTTTTTAAATATTGCTTTTCTTATCATATTCTCTTTCTTTAATATTCCTTCACAATATAATTAAAGTATTAAATGAAAAATATTTTTAAAATATTTATTTTTTGTTTTTTAAAAAATAAAGTTATAAAGTATACCATATCAGTATATAATTTTGTGTAAAAATATCTCAGTATCATATTGTATGTATATATATATATATATATATATATATGCTTCATGGAAGAACTCGAAACTCAAGGAATGGAATCCCCACATTTATTGGGCGAGACTCCAACCAGAATATTACTAAAATAGAAAAGCAATTGTTCATTTATTTGAAGAGATGAAGATGCTCTCAAACATAGATAGGCTGGAGGCAGAGTGATGAAGTCAATCAAGGAAGAGAGTATGAGGAAGGCTTCTTCCTGGGGACCCACCAGCTGGAAGGTAAAGCAGCCGGTGGCACAGAAAATGGAAGCCCGGCGGAGAACACGGTGATCACAAACTTCTGACCGCCCATGCAGTGATCGCCGATGAACCATTTCCTGCCAGCTGTTATGATTCATCATTTTTCATGAGGTTAAGGAGCTTTGGAATGTTCGAGAACCCTTCAGAAGACTCCCGGACAAGCTTAAGAGTGTTAGAGAGTGCAAGAACATTCTAAAGAAGTCTACACAACTCTAGCCTTAATATTTTAATATTTGTTACTAGATCTTTTCATGTAAATATTTAGATATTTGTTATAAATATCTAGGAAAGGATTCTAGAGAAGAGCTCTGGAACGTTCGAGAACCCTCCAGAAGACTCCCGGACAAACTAAAGAGTGTTAGAGAGTGCAAGAACATTCTAGAAAAGTCTACACAACTCTAGTCTCAATATTTTAATATTTGCTACTAGATCTTTCATGTAAATATTTAGATATTTGTTGTAAATATCTAGAAGAGTATTCTAAAGAATCATTTGTAACCGTAAGATCAATTCAATCTCCACCGTCCATTAAGGAGGTGGGAAAATACCTCACTTCTCCTCATTTGTAACACACAACCCTTGAGTTCTTAAAGCAATACTACTCTCACATTCTTCAAACTCTCTTCTAAGTATCCTTTGCCCTCAAGCTTTTTATTTCCTCAACTTAGCCAAACATCCTTCTTTTATATAAATTAGATTTATTTAATAATTTTCAGTAAAAATTATCTAAGTGCCCACAGGTCGAAAGACTTATCCCGTGACACAGCGCTTACCAGCATGACAACATCGTTTCCGCTCGACAATCCACCAAATGTCGGAATACTGCAGCTATGGAATGAAGGCCCGTCCACTTGGTACACATGATCCTTCCCCGCTGCGTACTTGAACACTTTTCAACAGCCCCGTCAACAACAGTCCAACTCATTTCACACTTCATGCATCAATTATTAAAATTCCAAAAAAAAAAAAATTATGACAGTTCGCCCATAAAAAAATTTAAAATATAAATTAACTTGAATAGTGCAAACATTTGAATTTTTTTGGAAATTTTTTTCAGAGACCTACTTAATTGTCTTTAATTCTTCCTTTTGAAATTTAACCATGATAAAAGGAAAAATCACTATTAAGTTCCACATGAATAATCTAAATGCAAAACTTTTTATAAAATCAAAAAATTATTTTACAGTCTTATGTTCTTTATTACTAAAACTGTTAATTAAAGTTAGATAATTATTAATTATTACTGTTTAGTTTTTTGTTCAACAACTCCATTAATAACTATACAATATTAATTGACAACCTTCATATGAAACTTTAGAGTAATTTTATTTAAAATTCTTTATATGATTTTTCCCAATTAAAACGATGAGCAGAGACACAAGACTTCACAAGCAGTGAGGCTCATTATATTTCAGAGCTTTCGTGCATAAATTATAAAAAAAGAAAAAAAAGAAAATGAGAATGGAGATATATAAATTAAATACCAAGTAAGTCGCCGACCGCGAAGTACTTATTGGCAGCCCAAGCCTGGTAGTCGACACCGGCACCCCATCCTTTGTCGTCTCCGACGATGTGTACCTTTGCCATGGCAATGCTCGGCAACAGGATGCTGCTCATCACCGCCACCGCCATGCCGGAAACAAAACCACCCTTCTTCATTTTTTTTTTTGTTTTTGATTGTGAGATTCCAATGAGAATTATTGATCGATGAGATTATCAGATGAATGATACGGTGACGTATTTATATAGTGGTTGGGTCATTTTGAAGACCACGACTGGTTCAGGACGGCTTGGAAAAACTACAGCTGACTTATGATAGTGTGTCGTCCTCGGTTTATAACTTCAAAGCAATTATATTCTTCATTCTCATCCATCATCAAATACTCCGAAATAGGATATATATATTTGCCTTCTCATGATACCATGAAATTAAATAAATAATTCGTTATGGTACGAGAGATTTTGTTGACCATCCATTACACTTGATTTGTTCTACTTCTTTGTCTTTTTTGTTTCTCACCACAAAAGTCTCCTCGACCATTTGCGCACACCAATGTTCATATCTCGCAGATGGCTTCGTCTTAGCAACCATTCATTAATAAAACAAAATTAAAATGTATAAAACTTTTTTGAATTTTGAGACAATTGTATATAATTTCTCTCACCTTTAAAAGTTTAAACTTAATCCTCCTAACTTTTAATTTTGTTTTTCAAAATTCTCTCTTGTTAATTATATTATTTTTTCACGAGGGTTAAAATAGCATTCAACTAAAAATGTCATTAAACAAAAATATTATATTATATAACTATTTATAATAAATTTTTTATATTTTTTAAATAATTGAGGCATTGATAATAATTAAAACAAATGTTATTATCACCATATAAAATTTTAAATATTTACTTTTATGTTATTTTTTTCTATTTTTTTGTTATCAATAGTGCATAGTTTTCTAGTATTAAAAGATAAATTAATCTAATATAGTAATATTTAAAATTATAAATATTTTAGCCATGTGTATTATATTAATCTAACATGAAAATATAAATAAAAATTTATTTTAAAGCAATAAAATCATGCAACATTGATAAAAAAACTAATATAAACATAAATATTTAAAATTTTATACAGTAATAATAAAATTTTTTTATCAATGCCTTGATTATCCAAAAAATATAAAAAATTTATTATAAATAGTTTTACAATAGCATATTTTTGTTTAATAATATTTTTTAGTTGAATGATATTTTAACCCTCATGGAAAAATAATACAATTAACAATTGGGGTTTTGAAAAATAAAATTAAAGATTATAAGGGTTATTTTTAAAATTTTAAAGGTGAAAAAAATTATATACAATTATCTTAAAGTTTAGAAAAGTTTTATATATTTTATCCATAAAACAATGTAAATGCTGATTACATATTGATTATTTTAATACAAGCCCAGACTTTAAACCTGGAAGGCCCAATAATTCATTACCAACGTTGTTTTCTTTCAAAATAACAACAAAGCCCAATGAAAAGCCCACTTTCCCTCCGCCACAGTCCATTTTGCAACTGGCCATCAAGGTAAATGTTCTTCAATCATGGTTTATTAAGTTATAATTACTTGGACTTGGTATAATATAATTCTTATAGTTTTAACTGATTGTTATAGTGATTAAGTTACACTAAGTTAAAGTTTAAAGACTAAGTTTAATTAAAAAACCAAATTATTAATTTTCCCAAAATTTTAAGAATTATAAGAGTGTAAGTAAACAATCCAGGAGATCTCCTTGTATCATCTACGTACCACGTACCACCTCGGTACAACAAGATGATGATTAATCAAAGGTTAAAAAAAATCAAGATTTAAAACATGTGAATATACATGGATTAGCTTCTTATATATATAGGAAACTAAGGGACCTGCCCAAAGACTTTTTTTAATCCAAAAGAAAATTACAGCGAACTTACAAAGCTGATTATTTATTTGGCGGGATCAGATGTGAAGCAGATCAGAAGTACGTAGGAAAAAAAATTATTTTACACTGGATAAAATCGGAATAGATGAGGATTCATTAATACATAAATAATTAAAAGCATTCACAAACAATAATGCGTAGGTATTGCGAATAATTAATGAACATGATATTTTAAAATTGCTCAGTCTTGAACAGAAAAGTGATCCTCCCGAAAGATATAATATTTGATATCTTTTATCTGAAACTAAAACACATTAACAATGTTACTCATGCAGGTTTTTGCGAGTCCTGCGTTCATGTATATCACTTACAGTATCATTAACCTCCAATTTACTCCATATAATTATTAACACTTTCTTCAAAACCTAGGAACAACCTATACAACCTTATCATCTATAAATCATTACTGATCAGGAATTTTTATTTAAATAACCGTTGACAGAATCCACATTGAACCTACATAGTTCTTTTTTATTTATTTATATGCACTAACACATGAACATTAGCATATTAAATAAAAAGAAAAAAGATACTTTCTATAAAATATACTATTAGTTAGTGAAGTATCTGAAAAGTATTACATGTTGACATTTCAAGAGCCACTCACATGGTATCCACACATTTTGTGGAAACACTACTATATATTTTGTGTATTCTATTTATATATATTCCCCGACATGCTGGGAATGGTCTTATTCTTCTGCAACTCTTACAATAATCTTAACTAACCCTATAATATAGGTTTAATTAGGGTTCACTACTATAGCCAGGAACCACCATGCACGTGGCCACCAGTTAATGGCTCTGTATATTCTGATTCCCCAATATGTTTTTTAACTATATTATTCCTAAAATTTTCAGACGTTTTCCCTTCTTTTCAAATAAAAAACCATGTTCACATGATCCCATGACTATAACAGCCCAGTTCTTTAAACATATAAATGGATATTTTGATGGCAATACTGATTTTCTCACATGCAACAAGAATGGATTCTTTGGCGTATATATATATATATATATATATTCAGAAGAAAGATGATAGATAGGGCTTCGGTGCTTTCTCAGGTTTATTTGAACATGATTCACTTATTATTTAGATCTGATCTTTGGTGTGTAAAAAAAAAAATTGTCAAGTTTTATGTTTCGAATATTTTAAAACTTAAACAAAAATCAAACCCAGTCATATCTGTCGTCACATATTGAGAGTTGATGTTAAGAAAAGTATCTTAATATATATATATATATATATATAACAAATTAGGGGCAATTAGATATTAAAATAATAAAGAACTCTTGAGTTCAGGCGAAGCAATCGCTTGCAAGCAAATTATATATGTTTTGTTTTGACCTTAGTGTTCAGGAATCTTCGTGAATAAAACAAATGCTAACCTCAATATCATCGTTGCAAAGTGTGTCAGATGTCAATATACTTGATTAGTCCCAATATTAATATACTTCTAACACAGTAACAGTACACGTTGTACTATAATATAAAGAAAACTGATATTAAACAGTCCTTTTTATGGTTTTGCATGTATTTACAAGCCTCTGATTGTCTTTCATTTTCTCAAAACATTCTACAACATGCATGCTTTTCCACTGATAATTACCTGTATAATTAAATCCTGGTGTGTTCTCTAAATAACACATCGTGATGATTATCATTAAAGAGATTGAGTTTTGATATTCAGATAGAGATCGTGCTTTTCGGAGGAGTAGTTTGGCTTTTTTTTTTGGGGGGGGGGGGTGGGGGATGTTTTAAATGCTCGACATATGGTAAATTTGCCAACCCAATATTAGAATAAAGCTCTTTTGTCTTAAGTAATTCTATTGAGATTATTCCAACAATTTAAAAGCCTCAATCCATTTCACTAGTCCAGGATCTCAAGTCTCATATATAGATCCCATATTCGTCTAACACTCTCAGAACTTTGTAGCTAGCATGCAAGTGAGCAGTAAGTGAGCTAGGAAATAGTTCAGGTCCCATACTAATGGGCAAAAAGATAATTAATTAAAGGTGTGATATGTGTGTCATGCTCTTCATGTAGTGGAGAGATCTGTAGACATCAATTTGTGACAGAAAACTTTAGAAAAAGTAAAGCAAAGCATGCTAGAAGGTGAAAAAATTGACTACGAGATGACAAGATCTATGAGTTGTGAGAGACAACCACTACGAACATGACATGATGGTCTGCCAACTTTCATAGCTCAGGACTCTCATGACGTTCACAAAACATAAAAAATCCGAATCTGAAAGTACCCAATAAGGTGTAAACGAACACAAGATTTAGTACTGAAGTTTACTAACCAGCTCAGCATTAATTATTTTGCATGCACACTCATTCACCTGAGCTCCGGATCATCAGTGAAAGCTTCCTATTTTCCACTGTTACTTTGCATGGATTCAGGTGAAACTGAGTAGAAGGGAGAGAAAAGTTATACATTCACAAAGAAATATGCAAGTTTTTCAAGGAATGATGTGAGAGGGGTGAAATGAAAAGGAGATGAAAAGTGAGTTTGTTGGATAGTAAAGAGTGGGGGACAGTGACATCACAAGAAGTACATTATAAAATTAACACTTGTAAAGAGGGGCCAGTATATAGCAGTACCGAGGACTATGCAAGGTAATGAGTGCCAAAAAGTGCGTACAATCAAACGTGTTTGATCAATTGATACCCCCACTCTCTCTCTCTCTCTCCTTCCTTTGTCATTTCATCAAAGAAAATCGACAATTATAATGTCCCATTCACGAGAATGACCATTTCCAACTCTCCTTGTTTTCTTCCACTCTTCCTTCCTCTTGTCTTCTTTCCCTCTTGGAATGTGTGCTTGATTCTCTTCCCTTCCTTTTATATATATGTGTGTAAAGATAAGCTTTGTTAAGTTCGAGTAGATTTTGTTGTTCACCGATGCTGTTGATTGATGAAATCTGCATAAATCATTGCAGGGGCTTTCTTTTCATAGCACATTCAGAAAGGTATGATTCCCAAAGCAAGCTTCAGGAAAAATGGATTAAAGATGACAAAAAATGTCAGCTGAGATAATCTCTTTTCTTATTCTAATGTTTCATGGTCATCATCATCAAGAAGTAACTCAACCAATGAATTTTACGCCAGAATGAAGTTTCAAACAAACCAAAAGGGAAACAAAAATTATAGCTACAGCTAGACCATAATTTATTCTTCCATGTAAAAATTTTTCAAAGTCCCAAAGCAGGAAAAAAAAAATCTACTTGATATATCCTATTTTATACATCAAGTAACCAAAAACACGGGTTTTTAATTAATTTAAGAACTCAAATGAACAAAAGTGTGGTAATTTAATTGATAAGAAAACTCTCTTGATGCTTCTTCAATTGAAATGTTGCTGCTCCAACCAAGGCCAGAACCCTGTCTGGTCATCAATCCCACAAAACATGTTGCTCAAGCTCTCTTCTTTGACCATATGATCAATCTTCTGGCACTGAAGGTCTGGTCTTGAAGAGGTTTGAAAAAGCTGAGCCACTCCGGAAGCAGGCCTAGCAGAATTAGATGTTGATGGGAACAAGGTTCTGCTTGTAATTTGATGAGTGGATAGAGGACTGTCTATAGCAGGTGTTCTTGAGATATCCAACTTGATGTCTGAGCTATTCTCACTCCGATTGCTGCAAGATCCCTCCGTTTCCTTATTGAGGTTGATGGATTCAGTTGGCACTTCTCTGCTTTTCAGTGCCAATATCTGCACATCAGTTCCATCAAATATAAAATTAGCCAATCATTCACCAATAAATAAAGTTATAGCCAATCAAGAGGTTGCAAAGGAAAAAAATAGAGAAGTTAAAGCAGCTTTATACAAAGGTTATTATTAATTGGGGATGTGAATGAAAGAAAGGTCAAAAATGCAAAAACATATACTTGTAAAGAAAAGATAATGATTGCCAAGCTTTATTCTACAAAATAAAATTCACAAGACTTCTCTCTTTCTCATCCAACATAAACAGCGCATGAAGCTAAGAAAAAGCTGTACAGTTTAGGAGTTAACAAGAAGATTGGTAATTAACCTCTGCTTGAAGTTGTTGGTTTTGAGCTTGAAGGGCATCATTATCTGCTTTGACAGCTTCATACTGCCTTTTGAGAAGATCATAGTCTTTCTCCAGCTGCTTCGTCTTCCACCTAGCCCTTCTGTTCTGGAACCATATAGCAATCTGCCTAGGCTGCAGCCCAAGAGCTCTAGCCAGCTGCATTTTTCTCTCAGGCTCAAGCTTGTTTCCTAGCTCAAAGCTCTTCTCAAGTGTTTTCACCTGTTCCATGTTAAGCCTCCTCTTCTTCTCCCCAGCCTGAGATCCATCATCAGACATGTCTTCTTCACCATTATTTGCTTCTTCACCGCCAAGTTCAAGTCCTGAAAAAGTCATAGATCTCTTCCCTAGAAGTGACGCTCCTCCTGCATCAAAATTCCAAGCCCCAATTCAGTCCTATAATATATATATATATATATATATGAGTAGCTAGCTACCTTGCCTTGACTCTGTTGATTAGAGAGCTACCTTGCCTTGACTCTGTTGATTAGAGAGAGAGTGTGTGTGTGTGAGAGAGAGAGAGAGAGAGTACCATGATAATCTTGAGGCAGAATTGAGTTGAGACACGGTGGAGGTTGATGGTGGTCTACTTCTTGGTGAGGGTTCTGTAATATGAAATTTGCCGGAAAGAAATCCATTTCATCGCTTGCTACGATTGGCCCGTCACAGATCCTCAAAAGCTGTATGATATTCTGATCATGGTGTTGAACTGAGAGAAGAGAAGATTCTTGTTGGCCATGCTCAAACCTTAAAATAATCACTTGATGTGCGCAAAAGAATAACAAAGACTAAGTTCTATACTACATAACTTCTTCCTCTGCTAAATTTAAGAATAAATTATCAGTGCTTCTTCAAGGATGGGAAATTGTTCTGAAGGATGACTTATATATCTTATCGGTTTTGTGAGGAAGAGTTTCTTTTTCTCTCTCCTTTTATGTGAATATTTGTAAAAGGAAAAGGAAGTTGCGAGGGGGAAGACAGAGAGAGAGAAGAGAGAGAGCGTGTTCGATCTAGAGTTCTAAATTCGAAGTTCTGGCCCTCAACTTCCCTATATATCACTGAAATTTTTCTTATTGTCTGCAAGTTACCAGTGGCAAAGGGAAGGGAAACTCCACAATATTTTATTATACGAGACAGAAATCAGAGTCTTAAAATGAATTGAGAGTAAAAAGAAAAAAAAAAAAAGAAAAGAAAAATTAAGAAATGCGCCAACCTATTTGATATTGGGGTGTGCATATGTAGGCGCATGTATAACATGTAATTATTTCTCTAATGATAAACTAGTTTCTCAGTTAGGAGACAAGGTAATTATGGGCAGCTATTTTTCTTAAAAAGACAGTTGTCTTTTTAATTATAGTTATCCATATCGCAGCTGGACACTTGATTCCATTGTTAAGAGACCTGAATTCAGGCCGAAATATGGAGATTAAACAAAGCTTAACGATACATACATATATGTAATCAAAGCATATGCATGCATATCATAAAAAGCCCTGACATGGGGCAAGTGCTGGCTCTTGTTGAAAGTGAAAGAAAGAAATTGTTAAAATGGTGTGGGTCTAGCTGTGGTGATAATATAGAGAGATTAGTTTATATGTGGAGAGGAAAGAAAAGAGGTTACTTGAGAGAGAAGAGAAATGAGTTGGCGAAAACAAGAAGTCCAAAATGGGTTGTGTTTTGAGGGAGGGAGGGAGGGAGGGAGGGAGCAGGAATCTAGGGGATGGGTCCGAAGAGGAGGGACAGGGGTTGCTACCTAACCCACCAACAAGCATCGTGCATTAGGATGAACCTCCTTTCCCATCAGACCCTTATTATGATCTTATCTATCTCCTTCTCTGCTCCTTCATCACCACCACCACCACCACTCAGTTTCAGTTCAGCCTCTCTCTGCTGTAAACGTATGTCATGAGTTCACTTCACACACCTCTTCTTTGTCCTTTTCACAAACCTTCTGCATGCATCTCCATCTAACATCCCACTTCTTTCTATGCTCCCTTTCATCATCTTTAAACACAATAATTATACATGTGTATGCATGCAATAGAATAAACGAGGGCTAACAGTTAAAAATACCTATAGAGTTTTTTGCAAGAAGTTAAAAGATATTGTAAATTATATTGTAGTGCAATTTTTTCCATCAAGCTTAAAAGATCATGTTCATTATAATTCAGGACTAATTTTGCCGTTAATCCATTTACACTTGACACAACATGTGAAACCCACAACTCCCACTTATTTTATATTTGGCCTCCATTATGGTTTGAAATTTGTACCATGATATAGTTTAGAATGTCTATATAGCTCCTCACAAAATATTTTATAAATATTCTTGCCCCATAACCAATAAACAATTACTCTCTCTCAGCACATAAACCAAGTACCTCGTGTGCATTGTGCAGCTCCTCTAAACTATATGCCGTCCCTTATACATAGTAGTAAGCAATTTGGTGATTCAGTAAACAGAATCAAACTTCTGATCGTGTAATTGTGTATGTGCAAAAAATGAGGGCCCGGAAAATTAGATTCATCTTTCCAAACAGCAAGCATTTACTTCCTCACTATTGAAAACTGCAAGTTTCTGCAGAGCGAGGGCTACAAAGAAAGAGTTTTGTGCTGTGCGTGTGTGTACAGGTCCGGAAATTAAAATTTGTGAATTTGGGGTTAGGATTTCACATCAGCCAGTAAAAAGGACATGTACAGTTTCGCTACTGGGGATGTTGCATTTGCCATATACACGGATATGACAATTGTGTCCAACAAATTAATGTGCGGTTGACCCACACATAGTGTCAACATGGGGAAAAATACATATACACAGACACACACACTTGCAGAGATCGGAGGAGTAAAAAAAGTACACTCAACCTCACTGAAAATTTCTCATATGAAAAGGGACATCAACAGAGACCGACGAGAAAGAGAGGGAGGGAGAGAAGTGGGGGGGAGAGAGAGGGATTAAATTTGCAGGTCCATCACAATATGGTCCCAAATGAATTTGCTGAAATACAATAAAGCTTCCAGGTTCTTACTTGACTTAACGGCTCCCATCTATTGATTTAACACATGAGATCAATTGGAAGCGTGATATTGACACCTCACTTGCCTTGTTTAGTTGTGCAGTTCTTTATCTAATTTCACCCAGCGGATCGAAGCCATTGAAGGTGATTATATATATATATATATTCATTTCAACTTCATGGGATTAATTAATTGAGGTCTGTGTCTGTTTGGTACCATACGAATATTAATTGTTGACTTGATTTCTGGGGTTTTGCGTCCAGTACAATGGTTCTACACTTTGTGTGAAGTGATGGATCACGCATGCATGCATGGGGATGAACTGTGAATGAATATGAAATAGGGTTAGTTCAAGGGTGGCTTTTGATGAAGAGAAATGATGAGCAGCCTTATTTTACAAAAGTGGGGATCCATGAATTTGGTCTTTGAGAAAACAAGACACTCAGGAAAGGACCCACCAAAAAGAAAGGACTTTGGAGGATATGAGCCTTACATTTATTTATTTTTATTATTATTATTTAATGCTATTGATATGGGACTTTATTAGTGAACAATTTATAAATATTTTTATAATTATTTTTTAATTATTTAGATTTTAGGTTTTTATTCTTAATCAAAATAAAATTATTATTTTTTTAAAATTGATAAGCGAAAGAAATGTTTTTAGTGGGTTCCTTTTTTAAAAGTAATAAACCCTAAATTATTTGAATCTAATTTAATGAGTTAATATATTCAAACACGGAATAAGCATGTCGCACATCCGGTTAAACAAGAGAGTACATTGATAATGATGGGTAAGATTTAAATTTAGATTGCATGCGCATATGGCATCCTATTTAATTTTAATCAGAAAAATCGCATCGCATCCATCTATTATGATATCAAAAAAAAAAATTACATTTAGCCACGTAAGTTGTTATAAATTTTAAAATAATATATAATTTCACTTAATGCAAAAGATAGCCATCGGATCTAACCAAAACAAATGAGATAAGTCGGATGGGATTGAACTGAAAGCTGAGAGGAACTACATGAAAGCGATCACAGGGAGGGTAGGTCCCACATGGAAAGAGAACTTTTAAAATAAGGAGGCAAAGACAAGTAGCCTTCTCAGCTTCACATGACTTTATTAGTTGCCTGAAAGGATACCCCATTCCCATGTTCCTTCCTTTTTTTCCCCCTCCATATTTATTAATTTTTTAAATAATAAATTTAAAATTTATATATATTATTTATATTTCAAAAGTTGGGGGAAAAAAAAATCTAATGATGGAATCTTCTCATCCACATGCTCTGGTGCTTCTGGTTTGTTCTCCTTGTTCAAATCCCATGTGCTGTCTTGCATTGCTCCATCCAACGCAATTTCCTTTTCCTTTTTTTAGTGTTTTTTTTTTCTTGCTTTCCAATTTTTTCAAATGTTTGATTTTTGGATTTTTGTTCATGAGGAGATGTGCATTGATGTTGATCCTTCAACTACCGGTCCGCTTTTGATTTTATTGTTTTCTTTTTATTATTATTAATTTCTTTTAACTGAAAAGTACATAAAGGTGCAAAATACTTGAATTTTATGTGTATTTTTAACAACTTAGAGGATGATCAATTATGTTTAGGTCCTTTCATAACGTATGATGAGATTCATCGATAACTTGGATAGCAAAATGACTATCATTTTGCTTATTTTACTTGGCTAAGTTGTTAATGGATCTACTTGTATTTAATTGTACCTATTGCAAGGATTTGATAGTAATTCTTTATATTTTGATATGAAATTAGATCTATGGGCCACTGCATGGTGCAAAATCTAGATAATGGATTGTATTATTCATAATTTATGAAGGATATGATTTTTTTAAAAAAAATTTTACCATTGATTTCTTATAATTTTTATAAAAAATTAAAATAGTATTATGGCCGTGTTAATCTTCCTTATGAGAATATTGTGAAGCAGTGACATAAATTGATCAATAGAAAGTATAAGCGATGAGACAACTTTTAATCTATCAATTTAGTTCCTTAACTTTAATTTTTATCATTTGAGTTATTAATGTTTGCTTTAGTTATCAAGTCACTTCTTTATGTTTAGTAAGAGAAAATAGTCCTAAAAAAATGCTGATATGAAAATTAGATTGTTGAAGTAGAATATACACGTGGATTAAATAAAACATATCAATCAAATCTGTTAAATCCTAATTATATATCTATAATTTATTTTAGGAAAAACATAACTTTTGATTCATGCACTTTATTCATGTTTTATTATATGTTTCTGCACTTTTTTTTCAGTGTCTTAGTCTCTTCACTTTTATTTTTGGTGTTTTACGTTCATTTAAGGTCCCTACATTTTGTTCATTTTGATCATTTAGGGACTTAGAATATCAAAAAATAAAAATATAGGAAACTAGAATTCCAAAAAAAAAATGTAAGAATCTATAATAAAATTCGAGTAAAGTGTAAAAATTGAAAGTTATATTTTTTTCTTTATTTTATTATTTTATTGTATTGTCATCACTACCATGGATTTTTGATAAGTAATTAGAATTGGCAAATTTGACTAATGTATTTTATTTAATTCAAGTGTATGTTCTGCATCAACAATCTAATTTCTATGTCAGCTTTTTTTTAGTAATGTTACTTTGTCTTGAAAAACATAAAAGAGTGACTTGATAATTGAAACAAATGTTAAGGACTCAAATGATAGGAATTAAAGTTGAGTGACAAAATGGATAGAACCTTTAAATATAAAAAAAAACTAAGAGTTGCTTTATCACAAAATATAATTACATGCATCTAATTTGTCAAACGTAAAATTTATAAAGTCATAATTATTAATTATCAGTATAATTAAAACTGTTACATTTGTTATTTATACGCATGTAGGGCATTTTTGGGGATTTTTAAAAAACAAATACGATTAAGGAGGAACAAAAACTTAGTTCGTGGAGAAGAAAGTGAGAGGGGAAAAGACAACATGGAAAAAGACTAGTAAAGGAAGGGACATCTAATTAATTTTTATAACAAATAATTACTCTATGTCATTGGCTAAACCAACATTGACATGTTGGACAAAAGAATATAATTAAGACTAACACACTGTTTACAGAAGTAGGACTTTAATTATAAGAAGTTTTGGCGATAATGTTGTCCGAATAATTGTTTTTTCACAAGAAAAATTATTTTGTAATGTCAAAGCTAAATTTATAATAATAAAAATATAAGCATATACTTGTGACAGAATTTTAATTATATTCATAGCTAGTATACAAAAAAGAGCAGAGATTATATATTAAAAATTTTAGAAAAGAAAAGAGACACATACATGCACTCACACGAACATGTGGGATTATATTATTATTCATTGGAATTTCAAATAAATTGAAGAAATAGATGAATGGATGAATAAATACAAGGCGGCTTCATTTGAAAACATCTAACAAGTTGCGAAAGTGATGCCTGAAATTGACAAATTGGGCCAGTGGGACGCAACGGGGCAATGTGAAAGAAACAAGAGCCTTCTGCTTCGTAGCCGTGTGGTGTGAGTGTGCGTGGGGGAGAGATAGAGAATTAAAAAAATGAAAAATAAATTAAGAAAAAAAATAAATAAATAAAGAGATTGTTGAGAGAAAAAGAAAAGACATGGGAAAATGGAATAGACAAAGCAACCAATAGTTGAATGGATAGGTTACCTCTTCTTTCATGACAACATGATCTCACTCCCCTCTCACACAATTTCTTTTCATTTTTTTAATACAAAACCACGAAAAAAATAATAATCCGCGCACAAGGTGACAAATTTAATCATGTCATAAAACAAAAATTTCTACAGTCACGGCTGAAAATTAAAATGTTTAACATTTAAATCATCATCAAAAGTTTGATGTGCAAATCAATTACTGTATTTCTTTCATTCTTTTCATATCTACTTATATATTTATCGTATCTATTTTCTTCTACATTTCCAACTTGGAGCTCGATACATTTAAATTGCCGAAATTAAGTTATTGTTTAGGTTATGAGCTGTATGAGTTACATGTTTTTTAATTGATTTCTCTTTTTAAAAAAATAAAATAAAAGGAAGAAGCTAAAGGGCTGTGCTTGCAAAAGTCTTGTCCATTTTAAAAATATGGTTCATAGCCCTACTCATTTTGTCATGAATCATCGCAGTAGTAGGCAGAGCTCACATTGCCTTTTACTCTCTCTTTACAAACACAAGCATATAACAAGGATTTGACACACATCCTACAAAATCCTGACTCAGTAAATGCTCTTTCAACTTAAAGGCATGTCCTGGTCCTAATAAACCCAATGCCCTAACTGAATTGAATTTTCAAGTCTTTTGTGAGGTGTTAAACCAGAAGTTGATACACAAACCTCACTTTTTAAGACTAGAAATAGATGGAAACAACCACTGATTGAAGGACGTTTTTAATTCTTTGTCCACTGTCCCCATACTGAGACCCACTACTATCCAATAGGTCTCAATTTTAATGGCTCATCCCTCAACACTACGACCATCCCTTCCCTTCCCTTGTTTTCAATAATTATCCAACGGCAACGTCTGAGGCGAGATTAGTTTGTGCTCTGTACACATTGATTTGTTGTATTAACTATTATCCTCTTAATTCATATCCTGAAGAAATCCTCACATACAACAACTGAGAACACTATTGATATAAAATAACCCTATAAATGTATTGACAAACCTATTCCGCAGTGCAGCAGACGTATAAACAAGAATTTGGATTGAATGACCCAATGACTCACTGCCTACCACCACCGCCGCTACCCAGATCAGCCGCTGCATCTGCGGCTCGGGATAAAACACCTGAAACCCACAAGGCTCCCTTTGAAAAATAGCTGCTATTTACCACAGTATTTGCAGCTGCTGCAACTGATCTTCCTGTGGCTGATGCAGCTGACATGGCTGTTTCTGAGACATGATATTTCTGATCCACAGACTTAACAGCATCAACCCCGGCAGATATTTTCTCAGTGAGGCCAATTTTCTGGTTCAGCTCAGCAACCTTTGCTGAGGCAGTTGCTGAAACGTGGTGAGACTCATCAAATGCTTTGGCATTTGCCAAAGCGTCCTTTCCAAGAACATATCCCTTTGCTAGCATGGTCTTAACGACTTCTTGTGCCACAGTAACTGCTTCTCCAGCGGAGGACACAAAATGGCTGCTTTGATGTTGCTGTAATAGACATGACACAAACAATATTTGAATAAAAAGAGAAATCTATAATCGTCAGCAGTTTAGCAGAAGTTAAGGAAATGCACATACTTACAGTTGAAGTAGTTTCCTCAGCTCCCCTATAGGAAGGGCTGCTCCAAAAGTCATGTTCATCTCTATACTGCCCCCAGTGTGTTATGCACACACGTTGATCTAAAATAGTAGCACCCTAACAGACCAGATAATAAACGAAAGAATAACTATCATAGACTGCCTGATCAATCATATTATTTGGTGGCAAATATGGAAATGGTCATTGAGATGACTTAGTGGAGCAGTAGATTACAAAAACCTATTAATAAGTATTACAAGTATAATCTGACCAATACTCACACTGAGCAAGCAAGCAGTTTCTTGAGAATATGCATCTTTGAATGTCACATAAGCAGTGCAGGCATCATCACCAGACCTATATCCAGAAATAGGTGAGATGCATATTAAATACAAAATACCATGCAAAAAATCAATATTCAATAAAAAAAATATGGTAAAGACTATAAATGATTGATTCACATTGAATTAGCAAAAGCAAACAATTATGTCTAGCATGCCCCGTGGAAACGGTTGCAGTCTATCTTTAGGGCAGCTTTTTCAAGCTAATTTATATACAATCTGAATTACAGCAAGGAGGCAACAGAAAGGAATTTTTTTTTTTTTTTTTTTTTTGCAGACAGAAAGATTTAATGTTTAAGTTCCAATTAGAAATTTAAAAAGAATATAAAGTGAAAACCGATAGGATTCCTTTCAGTCCATCATTCATGACCTACATTTCTAGGCCAACTATATGCCATAGACTACAGAATGAAAGTAATAAAAAGAAACAAATCAAATGACTCTCAGAAATTAAAGGCAACTCATTTATGGTGAATTGTACGTTCAAAATTATGAGCCAGAAGATCTTTCTTTCCCTTTAAATCAATCAATTTACAAAGAGTTGCCATAAGAAACACCACATACAATATTGTGAAGTGCAGTTAGTTTTTCCAGGTTCAATTAAAGGCAGCTTCATGGAACCAACGAGACTTTTTATTTACATGGGCTATATTTTTTTCATGTTTTCCACTCTTGGGAGGAAATGGAGACATATGCAACCAAATTTAGTGATGCGATAAGGGAAAATGCACAGGTGGGTGAGGAGATCATTGTGGCTGTCAAAGAAATGAGACTACAAATTTCTTTAGCAATCTGATTTAGTTAAATTGGTTTGTTTTGATAATTGGATTTGAAACAAACTTGGGAAAAAACATTCTTTTTATAGAAAGGGCTATCTCAGCTGTAGCTTCAAAGATAAAAAAATCAATAAGGGCATGGACTTCAGAGAAATTGTGGACTAAATATACTGGACTTTAGCTTCACTTTTCAACGAGAAATGCACAGAATCAAATTGAATTCTTCACAGTAGATAACTAATCATCAAGAAGTAGCGCATGCATCATCCTTAAAAATCTGATGAGAATCAAGTTTAACAGTCAAAATTTACCTCACAATTTCAACATGCTGAATTACACCAGAGAAAGCAAAAAAATCATAGACATCCTTCTCTGTGGCTTTTGGGGATAGGCTTGTAACTTCAACAACATATCCATCAGCATCCATCTTACCAATATGTTTTCAAGCAGATTTCCCTTCAAATTGATCATAATGAAGGGAAAAAATGTAATCATGTCAGAAAAGAACGAATCAACAAACAAAAGGTGCAGGTAGGAAAAACACTTCAAATGCAATGTATAATTTCAACATTCCAAGATAATATATGCTATTCATCCATCATGATCAATTCCATGTTCAGCATCACCAGCTGTTTACGTTGTCCTTTCACCTTGACCCTTTTACCTCAATTTCCACACTAGAACTTCGACACCACCACCAATCATTACTACTATCACATCCCATCAAAGCCACTCCACCACTTCTCAAAGCAACCAACACCCCACTGCCACCCGACTTGAGCAACCACCAAGGATTTTCAGATCTATTATTTTCATAATAGCTTTTCACGCTTAATTTACTAAATTTTCAGCATTGAATTTCAGTGGTTGTGGTTGATTCCTAATTCTACCCGCCTCTCTCAAAGCTTCAATACCATTGACTAATTCTTAATAAAAATTACAACGTTAATTTGAGATCACAAAGGTACTATAAAATGTCGATCACAACTCTCACACGACTGAACTTGCGCGTCTACTCTCAAAATAAATTAGATCAAGTTAGAACCTCCGAATTCATGACTCATCAACCTTATATCTCACATTAAGAGCCTAACACAATCCTTCCCGTAACATCCCAATTGAAAGAACAATAAAAGCTAACAAAAGCTCCTCTCCAGAAAACGAGCCACAAGGGGGAAAACTGAAGAGAAAGCTGTAAGATGATGCAAATGTTTCATAAAAATGAAGAGAACAAAATACCCAAACAAATTAAAGAAGAAATGAAAAATAATAACAGCAAATAGCAAACGCAAGATCAATTGATTGCCAAAATACATAATACAAGTTAAGATCGAAGAGAAAAAAAGGGACCTCAAAAAGGCAGAAAGCCAGTGTACGAGTGAGTAGGACCTGGCAGAAGGTGCGAGAGACCCTCCTTTGATATCGCTGTGTTGTGCCATGTGTGCCACGTGACAATCCAAAACGCATCACAAATTGGGCTTCCTGATCCAAATTAATGCAAGCCAAGTGGGCCTCCACTTCTCTACAAAAGGATGGGCTCCGAACTCATGCTAATCATAGGACTGTAACAATTTTTTTCATTCTGTATTTTTTAAGTTCAGGAAAAATCAAAGGTGAAGAAGGATCAGCAGCAGATTTTTGAAAATAAAATGTCACGGAAAATCTCTTATGACACTAAAATATGCCCTAATCTTATTTGTATCCATATGAATAAAATTAACTACAATAACCCTTATTTTAATGGATTCCTTTTGTTTTTATTATTACCCCACAAGTCACAAATAATTTCATAGATTTGATAATTTTATAATAAACTAAATCCAAAATAACGTTGCAATAAAATTTTAAGAAATATTTTTTACAAGTTATATTTTTATAAAATAAATCAAGCGTAATTAAGTTCCAGGGTATTTTGGTTATATTTTAGTCTCAAGAGCAAACATATATTTAAAAAAATATTTACTTTCCACAATTAATCTCAAGGAGAGGAAGAATATTTTAAAGAGTTATTAAAAAAAAAAAACAAGAAGAAGAAGTTTATTGGAGCTAGTTATAAAACCTCATATACATACGCGCGCGCGTTCATATAGGAATGCTAACTAAAGCACAAATTAAATTTCAGAAATGGCGTCCACATCAATGGCAAAGCCAAGAGACCATATGCATGAGCGACATGTTAAACACTACCTCGTCAGCGATACTTCATCTTCGAGGACCTTGACCGAAGTTAATCATGAAAACTAATTCCTGGATTAAAAAAACATTATAAGAATCTTGACCTGGGTTAAAGAAAAAACGATTATTATTAGAGACTAAAAATTATAATTTTTTTCCATAATAGACGTATAATTAGCTTTTTCAAGTCATGGGGAAAAAAATAAGGAGTTGTTTATAGCGATGGACAAGTGAAGGTAATAAGTTACCCAATTAAATGAAACGCACGTTTCGTTCCATATTAATTCATTGATGTACGTAATACCAATGAAAGTGCAATGCTAATATCAAGAACATACAAATAGAGGTCAAGCATCTATTGAAGAATATATAGAATATCAAACGAAGTCGGTTCAAGAAATAGGAAGGATAGGATAAGTAAAGTGGTCAACAAATGAAATGAAGAAAATGATGATGTAAACTTTGTAAAGTAGTACTATGCTCCACTGATTCTATTTATAGGTGAGAAAGAAAAGATTTTTTTTGTCTTATTTATAAATCAATTTATTAAATTTTTATTGTAATTTTTTTCATTTGACCTCCATTGAATATTAAAGAGAAAAAACGCATTGTTAATATATATATATATATATAATAGAAAGAAAATTGAAAAATTATCAAATTTTTAAATAGAGTTAATGAGTTTTGATATTTTTTTTGATTATGGTAAAACATGTTGAAAATGCTTTATAAATAGGATCATAGTAGTATAAAATATTAATAACCGTATCTTGTTTACTATACGCAAATATATATTGTACGGCTACAAATTAAACATGTCATATATGTATAGGTAGTTCATAGAGAGTTAGCAATTTGATTTAAAGTTGCCGCCAGAAAGATTGATGCATGCACCACAAAGTGGAGACTTTGAAGGAGTTCACGTTCAACGCACGGCAATAACAGAGAAAGCTTGATCACATCACTTCCTAATTAATTAAGCTAACCCCTGAATTTCTCGTACCCTAAATAATTTCTATTAAATCAATCAAACCAACCCAACCCCCACACACATCCTTCTCGATCATCCATCTGCGAGTATCTATTAACAACATGCATGATTTTGTCGGGGAAAAAAGGCTGTGATGCATGATTCACGAGTTAGTTATCACAGAGGGGGTCCTCTCTAATTATTGCCGAACACTAATATCATCAGGAGGTTGGGACCAGAAATATGACAACAAATGCTGTGTGTGCTTAATTAATTATTAATGTCACATGCACTAACCCATTGTTTGCTTCTCTACCATTATGTATGGCTCTACTCATATCTTCTCTGTTCTGATTCTCTCGTTATTATAGTTATAAATCCCTAACATTAATTAAAACACCATCTTCTAATTAATTATTGTTAGAATAGCACCTTTATTACTCATGCACTATACGCTCCAATCTGTATACATCAAATCCTTCAAGAATGCAAATCCAATCTGATAAGAGCTCGTTGAGAAATATGTGTAACCCGTGTTATTTTATATAGCAACATATATATGTTTGTGTGTGTCAGTGTGTGTGTGTGTGCAGAGAGGGAGACGGGACAATTAGTTCACAAGTCTACAAGCAGTGTAAAGGACTAAAGCCTTTTTCATTAAGAGGGGCATGCATATGCAATAATATATATAGGGTACTGAGACATAGAGATGCAGTTACATGCTGACAAGCACATACCTAGTGTGCTGTGCGTGTGCGCGTGTGTGTAAGGCCTAAGGGTAGGTGTATATTAGGAGAGTGATATCACATTAGCAAGGTCCTGAGAATGGCTGCTTCGGTGCTGTCGGGGTCAGTGGTGGCCAAAAGCTCGGACAATCTGTCACTGAGATCATCAACTTCTCTGTGCAACTTCTTTATGTAGTTGCAAGTCTCCTTCAACACCTTAGCTGCTGATACCTACACATATCTCCCAGATAAAATGAATAACTAGATATATCAACAAAAACTAAATATTTGGTGCTTTCATATATAGTTGCAAGTTATATAACTTTCTGAGGAATTTTGTTGCTAGGGTGGCCCAGAAAGCAGGCAAAATATTTGATGAGAGAGAGAAGAAGGAAGAAGAATATATATATATATATATATATACCTGGTGGGAGGTGAGAGGGGGTTGAAGCTGGGGAATAAGGCGTTGTAACTTGGAGACGAGATCGTGGATCTGGGCATCACTGAGATCAGTGGAGTTAAAACCTGGGTGTCTGGAACGAGATCTTCTGTTAGACATTATTCTCAAATCTACTGTCAGAGAGATACAATACAGTGGCTGCTTCAAGATGTGAGACTGATGAATGCGATATTAAATAATAGAGAAGGAGAGGTGGGGCTAGCTTGTCACAGAGAGAGAGAGAGAGAGAGAGAGAGAGAGAGGTGAAAAGTGATGATATAGTAATATGGTCTTCGTCGGAAACGTGAAATCTGGAGGTAGGCTGCAGAGAATCTTGAAGGCAGGAGAGAGATGGCAAATGCATGGGACGAAGCGGTGGGCTACGCTTCTTATTAATAGGCTGTGAGACTTGAGAGTGAATGACTCACTACTCGTGGTACATTGAAGAATCTCTAATCAAGTTTAATTAATATGAGATTCAAATTAGATTTCGTAAGTGTCAAGATATGAATAATATTAATTAATTAAATGACATTATAGATAGAGAGAGAGAGAGAGGCCATGCCCGGAGGATAGAGAGTATGTCGTGAAAGAAAGAGTTAGAGATATGCGATCGATAGGGCAAACGTGCCGCTTCATCGCCCCACCACGCGGGTCCTCTATGTGTCTGTCTGTCCACACAAACCCATGTTATCCCCAACACCCCCCCCCCTTTCATCCAAATATTAAAAATTGGTGTTGAGTGGATAAATTGTAGAGCATGTGCTTTGACATATTTAATGAAATGTTTTGTTTATAATTGGTCTGATTATAATTTAACTATAATTTTAATTTTTACTCCCTCAGTTTAAAAATATAAGACATTTTTTAAGAAGTAAGATGTTAAAAAATATAAGATATTTTAATTTTTTGAAGTGTAATTATTACCTTTTTTAAAAAATATCCTTATTGATAATGATTTTATATTTATTATAGAGTGTTTAATAAGAGTAAAAATAAAAAATAGAGTTAATTTAAAAATAAATAACAATTTTATTAACGAGTGAGATTCGATTAAAAATGCCTTACATTTTTTAATAAAAGAAGTAACTCTTAAACTAATATTTTGATATAAGTTTAACTACCATTCAATTCTCAATGCCTTCCTTTTCATTACTCTTCCTTCATTTTGTTTATCATACAAAATTTTAAGTGAATTGAATCTTGGCCTTTTATTTTAAAATACACGCAAAATAAAATTTGTTAAAATTGACCAAAAAATAAAGAAAATTTACAATTGTAATATATATTATCCTATTAATAATATATATATATATATATATAACATATAAAATCTTGAATCAATATATATAATGTTTGATCCGCTACATATGCGTTGCATGGAAGCTCTATCCCCAACCAATTGTTCAGATATACTAGCTATTAGTATTTATTTACTAAAAGATCTGGGTCTATAACTTTTTCAAATATCTCTCTTTTTATCTTTGTTATGTGGCTAGTACACAAGTCATCTGCTCAACTTTTTTAGTTTTTTTTTTTATCGGTGCCTCTAGCAACATTTGTTTACACATGTTGGGATCATCCTGCCCGAATTTCTATACTTTTTCTCATTGGTGGATGTTATATATCATAGATAATACATTACTACATATGGTTAGTTTATTATCTGTTTTGAATTTGAATTTAATTAAAAAAATGAGAGAATCACACTGCAGGCTTCAAAAAAAAATTATATTGTATGCCCAATACATTCTAATATTGCACTGTAGGCCTACGGACCTTTGTTGCAATTTTCTTGGGAGTAAAAATACAATTTTGCCTTTATATGATTTGAAAACTCGGATCATGTACAATACAATGTCCACCAATGCATAATACAATATTTATAAATTCTCAATACAATATCCATACCTATTTAATTGGTCAATAGGTTTAATAAAATATACAAGTAATGCACATAATATACAATACAGTATCTATGAATGCACAACACATTATTCATGCATTTTTAACTAAATGTTTATGTGTGGATATAAACATTGTGTTGAGAATTCATGAATATCATATTGTGCATCAATGACATTGTGTTGTACATGCTCTGTGTGACTTTATTTTAATTAATATATAGATCAATTGGATACGCATGGACATTACGTTGAGAATTCATAAATATCATGTCGTGCATTCATAAATATTATCTTGTACATGCTCTGTATGATGTATATTTTAATCTACAAATCAACTGGACATACATGGATATTGTATTGAGAATTCATGAATATCATATTGTGCATCCATGGACATTGTGTCTTATATGATCTAAGTTTTCAAATCATATAAGGGCAAAATTATACTTTCGCTCTCAAAAAAAAGTGCGATAAGAGCCTTTAAGCCTGCAGTACAATATCAAAATGTATTGGGTCTAAAGTAAAATTTGTTGCTGTTTTAAGGTCCACAGCACGATTCTCCCTTAAATCACACAAGCACATACATATATAAAGCCTACATATAAGACTGAAGAATAGGTAGACTTTGAGCTGGTTTATTTGGGAGCATTAAGCAAGTGGCTCCATAATATGTGATCTTATATGCATCAATTTGCAGAGTGAATCGCTTGTTTTGGCTATTGTCTGGATTTGGAAATCTTCAAATGACATACGCACACTTGCACTGCAATTTCAACATCATCCAATTGCTGGCAATTATTTTCTATCTTTAATTACAAGCTATCAATTATTTAATTAATTTCCAGTACAATATTTGGGAATGGCTTCTCACTCTATCTCTCCCATCCACTCGATCGTCACGTTCAACGTCTCCTTATATTTATTTCTCCTTTTTTAAGTCAAAAAAAGAAAACCAATTTCTCTTTTTAGTATAACATTATAGCACTATATATACTAATGGTATTTATTGCTGATAATTATATACTATCTATCTATTGTATATTTGTATAAAAGACCCACCAACTTTATCACCCTGCCTGATTATTTAATGAAAATAGCCACCTAACATCTTATCGATACATATGTGTGCCAGTGTGTGTGCTTTGATTTCTGTTTTTCTATTAATATTCAACAAGTTTTTTATTTGCAGTATGCTATTTCTCATCATTGATTTTGTTTTTCTTAATCTTGAGCATATATATGTTATAATACAGATCCCTCGCATGCTTTGCATGACTACTGAGCTAGGTGAGATTGTAGTCAATATGTGTTATGTTTGGATTAATGAGAATTTATACTAAAATTTTGAATTAGAACAAATCCCTCTATAGATTCAAATTCAAATCCATGTTCAGGCCCAAAAAATTCAAACCCATGGCTTTTTTTGAAGAATAGTTAATCTTAAAGATGCTGTACAGGTTTTTGGTGCGGCATTAAATATGATGACCATGACTTTGCTTAAATAATTTAGATTTTGCCACCGACCTGAATTTATAGATAAGTTTGTTCGTAGTCGAATTTGGCAATTGGAAAAGCCTGCTCATTGCTTCATTTACACTTCCAATATATATCTGTGCATGTCGTTTTCCTTTTCTCAAATAGGCAACGCATGCCTTTAATTCATTGAATTAATACCATGCACAACTTGAATAGTGTGTGGGTGTGTGTGATAAACAACACAAAATATCAAGATATATAATGTCTATGCATATGCGAGAGATCGATTCTCTTTATATACTCTTTTAAGTAAAGTATTGGGCTCCCATTAAAAAGCTGAGTTTAAATATTGCGGACAAAAAAATTATATTGTGATAGCTACCTTCATTTGAGTTTGTTAAAAGCTTGAATCTCGACCAGTAGGAATGGTTATCTAATATATGTTGTTTATCTCTGAACTTGCATATGGACAGTTCGAGAAAAACAAAACACAGTTTTAGTCGCTCATAGCATAGGAATCTAGGAACTATCACTACTAAAAAAATTAAAATTAATGGCAGATGTTTATTAATGAATATCTAATCTGTCACTGATTATTGGCATTAGTAATAAAATTTTGTGACAGAATGAAATCTATCACTAATTCTAAAAATTAATGACAAATATAGGATGTAACTCACATTTTAATCAAATTTTATAAATTTAGTGACCGGTTTAAATCTGTTACTAATTTTTGTCACTAAATCTTTACATTAGTGACAAATATTTTCAATTAAAAAAATTATTAAAATGAGCTCAAATATTTTATAAAAACAAACAATTTATAATATACATAGAGAGGTTCACATATAAAAAACTTCAAAATTACCAAATTAAAAAATTACACAAATAATTTTTCTCTCATTATAAGTAAAATATATAATATAAAATATATAAAAAATATTTTTTATTTTATTAATTAAATTTAAATATGAAATAAAATTTTTACAATATTTAATTGTAACATAGATAATATGAAATGACATATAAAAATAATTATTTTCATAATATATATTATTTGGTATTGAATAATACGTTTATTAACTAATAATAAATATTGAATTATATATTATGTGTTAATGTGTGTGTGTATGATAATATATATTATCATATATTTAAATAATAATATATTAAATATATAAAAATAAACTTAAGCAAAATTTATGGGTTCAATTAAGTAATATATACTAAATTTTGCATATTAAGAATGAAAAGTCATCACAACTCAACTAGCAAAAGGCACCAAAAAAAAAAGAGGTCTTGGGTTCAAGCGATAACATAGCATGGAGGTCCAAGTAACAATGACATGGCGGGTGGTGATTGATATGTACTTATCAGGTGGCATGGGAGGGGTGATATGGCAATAATTGGACTTGTAAAAAAAATGTTAATTATAAAATAAATTAGTGATAAAAATTTATTAATTAGTGACAAATATTTTTTGTTGTTAAGGTTCATTTTAGTCACTAAATTAGTGACGTGATATTTATGATAAAAATTAGTGATGGATGATCTGTTACTAAATCTAAAATTAATTATAAATTTTACTTATTAATGACAGACTTGTTCATCACTGATTTCGTTTTTTCCAGCAGTGAATTAAGAATCACGCATGTTATATATATTCTTGAGTGTCTGTTTGGAGATGTGTTCTTGTTCACAAATTTAGCCAATTTTTTTCATGCCCGTGTGGTAATCAAATTAATTAATCAGGTGTTATAGCTTTTTCTCCGAACAAAATGTTAGCAATTGAGTGGCCTTAAATTTTAGTAATTTTTTAAATTCATCATCATATGATATATTCCCCCAATCCTCTTAATAAATCATTTTTATCAACCTGATCAATATTAATGTAAAAAAGTATAAAAAATAAAAATGTGTAGAATTTCAAATATGCCTCTATATAATAAATTTAAAAAGTAAT